TACAGGAAACCTGAAAGATGTTGAAGTTCGGGAAATACTTCCGAGTCTACGAATCAAAAGTGATGTACCCCAAGGCATCCTTTCTGGTACTCTATTATCTTCTCTATTTCAGTGAGTTACCGCGACTGTCTAAGTCGTTGACACTACTGTTAGTAGATGATGTCAGTATCTGGAGAATAATAAGTAGTGAAGTTGATCATTTTGATCTTCAAGCTGACCTAAATGAATTGTTGGATTACCTCGAAGTAGGGACTTGGAAGTTAATTCTATAAAGATTGTGTTAATGGACACTGGGCACTGCAATATTTGCCAGTATATTATCATCAGTGAATCGCAAAAATGAAAAGACTTACTGTCACCCGACAGTAATTCCAGAATTAAATACAAATGAGTGTTGCAACGCAGCAGACACCAAAGGTTTTCGAGAGTTATGGTCACCTCGCTGAGCATTCAGATGCTTTGACAAGGAGATGTATAGGATTTTATATGCCAACTATGTAAGACTACATCTTGAGTGTTGTATCCAAGCAGACAATCCATGTCTTAATAAGGTGTTCGGCATGTGAGGAAAGAGTTAGTGATGGGTCTTTATAAATTCCCTTTACGATGAGCGGGTAAAATGCCTGAACCTTGTTTCCTTAAAGTATCTTAAGACGCCAGGTGATATTTTATTGGTATTCCATATCTGCTATAATGTCTTGGATGTTTGTATATCTTTTAAACATAAATAATATTAGTTTATTTATAGTCCATAGAAGTTACCTGTAGTTTAGTCTTCACTAGGATAAAACAGACATATACATTGAAGTCGGATCAAATCATTTTTCTTTCACAAACCGATGAGACATATTTCCGTGCGTATACTATGCGAAAACGTTTTAAATGTAGAATTCTTCACTTTATTTGCTTCATTCGTAAAGGCCTTAGGATTATACTTGAAAATAAAGTGTCATAATGGCATGATTTCTGGAGATTTTTACCTTATCACGCATCATTACGATAATATCAATTTCATCAATTCGGGGATGAAAGCTATCACGCGTATTGTGGTGATCGCAAATCAAATTTAAAATTGTCTAAAATTGATTGTTTCCGGAAGAACTTGCAAACTGTCAAAATGCTGCACCCATAGTATTTCAACAGTTTGACTTTCAAGCAATTATATTAACAGAATTACACAACCATATGATAAAGTTGTCTCATTTGCTGATAAAGAGATACGACTACTCTGTTTTCAACATGCGATCTCACGTTACAAGCGTATCAGACACCAGATAACTTTCAATTCCACAAATTTCATAAGTGCTAAGCACTACATCTTGCAACCATGTGTTGGTTAAGTAACATTCAGTAAATATAGTCTGATTCCACACTACTAGTTTATATCTTTATTCCGAGTTATGGTAATAAAGTTTTCTGATATTGAGCGTTCCCAAATATATTTATGAACCGTTACGAAGTTGCACACCAATAAATTTAAGATCTGTCGTTCGTTCTCACAACGCACCGGAAATCCATTTAAGGAGACATTCCTTGCTTAATTACTCATAGTTTATGCTTGTTGACATGCCTTCCTATTCAATGCACGAAGTTCTTGGACAAAAGTATGATGGAAGCTAGAATTTACAAGTAGCTCTTTTTCGAACGATGACTGAATTGAAAATATCAATCCCTATCAAATGCATTTCAGTGAGATTGTGGTAGTATGATGAATATTCAGATATCAATAATGAACGTTCGTGATCTACCTGCCGATTTTTCATCAATTACAATCTGCGATTTAACTGGTGTTTAGTATATATTGATATGTTTTTCATATGTTGTTAATAAAATAACTAACTTTGAAGGCAGTAATTATGACTGATATTTTACATGCTGTGCATCAGAAACAAGGCTATAGCTTTTATTTAAGTTTTAAGTCCAGGACATTGAGTCGAAAGCACGTCGATGATTTTTCAAGAATATGAGACCATGAGCATACATTTAAATACCAGAGGTAGATGGGTGCTTCACGTGAATCAATAGAACAAAATACAAAATTGGCTGTAGTTTTCGGACACAGAAAGTTATAACGTCCTACTAACATTTGAGTCTGCCTGTATTTATTATCGTTAACTTCTTCAACAAACGAATTGCACAGAGTATTAATTGAACAGCAACAGTATATCTGTATGGAAATATATTGTTTGTAACATGGTGCAGCGTACAAACATATCCCTCATACTAGTCCGAATGTTAGCCGCCTAAATCACTCGATGATTGATTCGATTTACACTAAATACGTAGAGGTAAATAAATCTCCAAAATCAATAGATCTGTAAGTTTTCGACATTTGATGCTGATGGCATTAGTTTTACTGGACTCATCTAGCTGAATGTACTCGGTCACGCATTTACACCAGATCTCGAGTGGGCAATCCGAGCTTCAATTCTCCTACAACCACCAGTCAGTTTAGATTAGTCACTTCTCGATATATCGGTATTCTATGAAGTTTATCTTCCAACACTCTTCGCTTGCAACTTCCGATTTCACTGGGTTGGCATATTTCGATAATGATAGGTAATACTAAGTAAGGTGTTGTCAAACTCCGGATACTTGCGGCACCTCTAAATATGTGCTTAGTATTTTCATCAATTCAATCGCTTTTTTTCATTCTTGTTTTCTGTTTGATAGTCTGCTTTATACACTCGTATTCATAACTTTGTTCATATTCGCTCTATAAACTTGCACCTTTGTTATCTGCGCTGTACAATAGTAAATTGCAACTGACTGTCCACATTGTTTTCTGAGTTCCGTACCAGCTAGGAGTTGTTTAATAAATTTTATCTGAAAAAGTGATATTCAAAGCATTAGGATTTACCTCAAATATATTCAAATTCAGCGTAGTATAGATAGATTCCATTAGGAATTTGAAAATCTTTATAAATCGTTCTCAAATAGTGATAGCCGGATTAAGCGACGATTTATGAAGCTATCAAACAACAGTCACATATCACGAATACCACAGTATGAAATGTTTCATAAAACATGCTAATATTTCCAAATATCAAAAATGTTGAATTATTTACGAAACATGTGCCAAAATCAGCTTGAAGGATCCCGAATCAGATACGCAAAAGGACAGATATTATCGGACACTGGTTCGACACTTCCACTAAATATGAGCGAGCAAGAAAACGCACGAACACTTCGTTGTGGTATTAGTCCTAACCACAATGTCCCCAAAGCTGAACATGAAATAACTTGGAAGACATATATTCAGTACGGTGAGGCCGACTATGGAGATCGCAGGAACATCCAATTCATTTAATAGGACAATATGGCTTAGCTTTGCAGGTGTAATCAACCTTGTGTAACTTATCCCTTTTATTCATATTGAATATATTGTTCTATTTCCAACATAAATGTGTTCTAGAGTAACGCCAAACATTACATTGCTGGTGATTATGATACAACGAGCCAGAATAAATAATGACGCGATTTTAACGTAATACCTTTGAGATTAGATAGTCACATCGTGACAAACCTATACATTTGGGATCATGTCTATTATGATAGAAGTACAAATAACGAAATAGAACTTAATTCTACAACATTAAAACAACTTGTCGTTGCCATTGTCCAGTTTGCCACGGTATTTAAAGACTACGAAAGTCTGAGTAATTGCGTATTAGGAATACAGTCTCAGAGAAGAGACCGGAGTTTTGAAGTAATTTTCTTATGAGTACATAGAAATTCACAACTTGAAGCGAATCTAAAGACATGAAGTTGATTTGATGAAGTGGAAAACATCAAAATTCGCCAAATCCAATGTTTACAAATGATCATCAGAATAATACTGCATAGTGCTGTATCAAGACGAATGCACTCATTATGAATGGACAAAAAGTACACTGACTAGAACTAATGCAATGAAATGACTAGACTACCACCAACTGGACACTATCAAATACACGTAACCATACCAAAACAACGTGACGAGAGTGTGAAGAGATCAAGTGATTTATGCAAGCTAGAGAAAATGATATCATGGATATTGATAAAGTTCATTGTCAAGCACTAAAACAAACTAGAACCTTTTCAAGGTTAAATTTCATTGTATATAAATCTTTGAATCGGAAAGCAGTTTTCGTGTTGCATTAGTTACCAGTAAGTTCACTATATTGCTTTTAAATATTTCTTTTTATTTGATCGTATCAGCGTTGCTCATGCTGCCGAGTTGATTGAAGGTCTGAATGTTCAAAAAACACATAAAAATTACAACTTTGATCGTGATTTTTAAGGTGGTAAAATACAAGACAATAGAGTATTGTGATTTGTAGGAGCAAAAATAAATGGTTTTCAAAGTCATTCTATTTATAATTCGTATAGTTCTTTCATGAGCATGCGTTGATAATTAGAACACCATGTAAATAGATTCATTTAAGATATTCGAATTAAAATACATTTTAACGATGCAGGTTTATAAAAAAACTGTTTAGATACCAAAGGACAAACAGTCAGAGGCGATAAGTTATTCATAAAATTTAAAAAAATAACCTATTAGTAGTATGCTATTTATTTATTTAAAAACAAATTTTACAAATCATTTAATAAGGAAAACTAAATTAATTCTCATATTCACTTGATTTTCAGCATTATTCAGAAATCTTCTGGTGAAAATGTAGGTCTGCTGAAATAATATAAATTACAAGTAAATGTAGGACTAAGCAGGTGGACGCTAACATGAACAATGTTAAGAAAGTTGCAGACCATTTACTTAAATCAGTACGTATTAAACCAGAAATCGGGATCATTTGCGGAAGTGGTTTGGGAAAGTTGGCTGATGGGGTGAAAGATAAAACCATAATTCCATACACAAAGATACCCAACTTCCCTAAAACATCTGGTAAGTAGTTGCATACATTCAATTAATATTTGTAGTTGTTGGACACTCCGGAAACCTGATATTTGGAACTCTGGGCGGCCGAAAAGTAGTCGTCATGCAAGGACGGTTTCACATGTACGAGGGATATACCAATGACACGGTAATACATTTGTGATGGTCAGTTATCTCTTTGCCATAGATCGCTCTTCCCATACGCGTGATGAAGTTATTGGGAGTAAAAATTCTTATGGTTAGTAATGCTGCTGGTGGTCTGAACAGAAGTCTCAAACTTGGTGATTTCGTGATCTTAAAAGATCATATTTATCTTCCTGGACTGGGATTAAATAATATTTTGGTCGGACCGAATCATGATGAGTATGTTACATTGTGTTTAATTTCATTTCTGTAGATTTGGTCCTCGATTCCCAGCACTTTCGGATGCCTATAACAGTGACCTGCGAAAACTGGCTAAACAAGTAGCTGTAGAAAACGGATTTGGGGATTCGGTTCACCAAGGTGTTTACGTGATGAATGGTGGTCCTTGTTTCGAAACGCCTGCTGAGTGTACAATGCTTCTTAACATGGGTTGTGATGTAGTCGGTAATTGAAAAACCATTTGTTTACTGAATTTAAATGACATTCAAACTGCATGCTTTTAAAATAGAATGTTGACGATGTTTTTCTTCAAGGCACAGGATACATTTTCTACGCTAGCTTTAATCAGTTAAGCATTTAGTGTGTGATCAACGGATAACAGGTCACATGGAAATGCTCCAACTCCATGCATACTTCAGAAACATATCTAGCAGTGTCTTTATTTTGGGGGCAGTTTCAGAAGTGTATCATTTTGATTGTGACCATTAACTATGATTTATTTTGTTCAAGATATTAAACCTCAGAAACCCATTCAGAATGAAACGTGTATGTTATGGGAACCACAAAATATCAGAACAATGATCGATTGGTATTTATAATACTTGAGGCAGATATTTAGTCTAAATTAAAGTAGCTTGCATGAGTACAATACCTACTGAAATTTTCTCAACGAACATCAGTTCAAACGCGGGAAACTGCTTGTCCATTGACTTTCGATGATGATTGCAAAAGACATCTTGTATATCACCAGTAAGATATTTTGATGTTCTGGAACAGTCCGGTATTCAACAACCGTTTTCATCCAGATACTGCCTGTCTGCAGTCAATTATTGTCCGATTAACTGATCAAATAATGGGAAAACCTTAAGTCGTCAGATTAGATTTGTTGAATGCTTTTAAGTAACGTGGTCATCACACAGTTTTATGAGAATAAGCTGCAAGCGGCGTGTCTTCACTCTAGATTTCTGTATTGTTTAGAAAAAATACGGTAAATGCTCATGTGATATTTGAGAGCATGTTCTTGGTTGACTGTTGGCGAATATTATATGTATTTACTGTGGATCCAACCCAGACACGTTGTAGATGTTTAATTGATCATTGTTCCAATATTCAACAAGTAATTAAATAATCATGTAAAAAACGTCACTTAGTAATTAACTCACATCTTTGATCCGTGTTTTAGGTGGGATACATTCTTTTAATTCGAGGAGAATCAGTCAGACTCTCTCATTTTCGTCGATTTATCTACAGAACATTATGTCTATGTGTTAACGCTTATCTTACCATGTATTACAGGTATGAGTACGATTCCGGAAGTTGTAATTGCTCGGCATTGTGGAATTCAAGTGTTCGCCGTTTCGCTAGTTACAAATATAAGTGTGCTGGATGTTGAAAGCAGTGTGAAGGCGAACCATGAAGAAGTCTTGGCCACAGGTGCTCAACGTGCTGAATTGATGCAATCATGGTTTGAAAAGATCATCGAAAAACTGCCCAAAGATTGAGTTGAATGTTACGCTTAATATTTTGTGCAATGAATTATACTTTGTGAAGAATGTTTCTGTTTTTGTACCCTCACTGAAATGAATATTTTAGCTTATAAAGTGCTTTGCCTAGAAAACGACTTTGTTTTTCCTGTCTTTAGTAAATTTCATATGTTGGAACCGCATTGTTGACCCCATCGTGTTGATGCGGTAGTGATGCTGTTGAAATATTTATGCGGTTTAATTCGTATACATTCTGTCGACAAATCACGTTGACACATTGTAGATATCAAAAGGTGAATAAGAGTTTTATTCATGATACTCACATTTTAAACATGTTGAAATTGGACGGCAGACAAGGAATGAAAGATGTAGCGAATATATGGAGAATCGGCGTTTGGTAGTGCACTGACTCGACGAATAATGAAATGAGTCAGCTTTCGTAGGCCACCTAAGAAATACAGAGAGTGGATAGACAAATAAATATTATCATGCCCATGAGCATTAAATATGATTAAAGCCACAGTTGAACAAGTGTCAACAGTATATTTATAAGTGACGGAATAACTAAACTGATTAGACCCATTTATCTGTCAAAAGTCTGAATAAATTACGTGGCACTATAACAGTAGTTAATGCTGTTTAGATTTTCTTGTTTTGATTGTTAACATTTTGTCGACGATGAAATACAACTGGCATTTTCAGTTGACCATTGCTGTATTGAGACTAATACAATTAAAATCGAAGCACTCAACTTTTTGTTATGTGCGATCCTATGAGGATAAAGCATTAGGTGTTAAAGCTTAAAGGAAAATCAGAGTCGCTAGAATTACTTGATTAATTTATCATCTTCAATAATCTCTCACTAACAGTAGTTATAGATATTTATCGCTCTGATAGACTCATGTATTAATAGAACTTACAGTTATGCACTGAAGACAGAATAGCATTACCAAACTACGACATGATTGTGCTATCACATACTGTCTGCTGGTTTAAATACAAGTTTAGAAATTGGATCACATCCAACTTGAATGTAACTGTTAGACTTAATGTATTGCATAAGAATATTTTTATAATTAAACAAAACAAATTAATGGAACTTGTGCTTTGCATTATTACGGGCTGTAATTTTAAATCATTCGCATGAATGAGAGTTTTGAAAACATTTGAACTTCCGCTTACATTTTCCAACAAAATATTTTATTCGTTTTGTGTAAAACCATGTAATGAAAACAAGACGAGATTTCAATGATTTGGAAATAATTAAAAACATAATCGATTATCAAAACCAGTCAGAATGAAGGAGTTTCTGTTGAGATTGCTGTAATTAGTGGGTTTTATTTGTCACTGGTTGATCACAATGGGGGGATCATTGAAAGCTGAGAAGTACTGTAAATCTATTTCGTTTTACTGTGGGACTCCTAAGGAGTGGATATATTTGACCCCGTAAGACATCCAATGTAGAACATGCGGGCTTTGTAGGATATGTTTTATGTAAACCACATCTTGAGCACATCTCTTCAAAACACTTTCAACTAAAATAAAATAACCAGCCTATTTATTGAATATTTCAACATATGGATAATTATCGCTCTGATAGACTCATGTATTAATAGAATTTACAGTTATGCACTGAAGACAGAATAGCATTACCAAACTACGACATGATTGTGCTATCACATACTGTCTGCTGCTCTAAGTGCAAGCTTATCCATTAAGTATCTCTAAATACTTCTAAAATTTTAAAAATCCTCATAACTGTCAATTCAGGCATATTGACGGTGAAACTGTTGTTACCGATGACATGAAATGACCATCACATCATGTTGCGAATTGATTGAAAATGGATAGTATCGTTAAACACTTCTAGTAGTTCTAATGGTCAGGGGTTTGATGGAAAGTGCTGAAGAATTTATCTTTGATCCTACTATGATTCGTAGGAGGTTGCTGTTAATAAACACCATCATTGACGAAACAGTCGTTCATTGCTCTATTGCTTTTCACTAGCAACTCAAGTGAGATCAATCCGTAACGTGTTCAATCCACGAAAGTTGATTATTTATGAGAAATATTGTACATTACACTCCTTATCTAAACTATTGTGAATAATAGTGATAGGCTATAATGATCATGTTTCTACGATGAATTGGAAGTGTCTCGTTTTGTCAACGAAGAATGTTGTATAACACTGTGCATTTCATAAATAATTAGGGCCATCTATCCTTTAAATTGTGAAATGTTGGAGACATTCACAAATTATATTTGAAAATTGTTCTTTTAAGTTAGTTAATATGCTAGAAATTTCTGTCATCATCCACGAAATTATTAAGTAGGTGACTGATCAAATCGAGTCCTCTGGATAACTGCGACAGACAACACACCAAATGGTGTATATCACTCGAGTTGTCAGTCTTTTTAATCATTCACTGAGTAGAAACTGTTCAGCTAAAATCAGTGTTGCAGTTATGTAAAAATTTTCGAACAGTTTAATCAGATATATATTTTACAATGCATGAGTTTACAAACAAATAGAATGAAAGAAATAAAAATAATATACTTGTAATATCCCAATGAGTAGAAAAATCAGATTTTGTGACGGTTAGTGATTCATTGTAAGCCTCGTCTTCGGGTAATAAAAGAATAGAAAGAAAGTGTTTCGTAGAAAGTCTAAAATGCATGATCAAATGGATGATCAAAAGATAATGAATAATGACGCTTGAGTGAAAATGGATGCTGTCGAAACCAGTTGACAGTTATTTCATCTTGAATAGTTCCTTATCAAAAGTGCATGTCGATTGCTGTTTCTTCTATGAATTGAAGTTAATAGTTAAAGAAGTATTACGTTTTTTACTTCCAGAATTGTAGATGCACTTACAATTGGTCAATTTTATTTAGGTTCCGACAGAACGTATTACAACAGGACAGTGTTTGAATATGTGGTGTTATTGTTTTAAGTTATGGCGAATGGTATGAAAAATAATTACTTTCTACGTTGAACAAGTGATATATAACTATAATGTTGAAGAGGAAGTTTTCCTGTTCTGCTTACTACGAAGCAAAAAAAACTAATCAAACTAACGTTTCAAACTGAGCTCCTTGAACAAACTATATAAATTTTGTAAGTTATGATGCCATAGTTAAGTTAGCAAGAACCTTGTTAGGATAATGTACTATGTTTAATTGTATGCACAGTGGCTTTTGGTGATTGTTGAACTTTGTTGTTAATATCATGATTCATCCTGATCTATAATTAACTTAAAAACAAGGAAGCAACTAACAACTGCTTCATACTGGTATTCTTCTACTATAAGCATATATCCTCTACCCTACCGGTGATTAAACATAAAACACTAATGTGTCGTGTAGATATTTCAAATTGTAGGCCGATGTGCTGAGAGCTGTTAGTTTACATAACTAAGTTCAATCAATCTGGCATATTATTCAACTTACAACTAATATGTTTGGTTAGCAACTGCCTCACAATTGACGCAAGTGAACACCACTGATCACGTCTTCTTATTAGAACTCTTTGAAACTACCATTCGAAATTATTATCTGATGACCACTTGATTATTGTTTGTACTGTTGTCTCTGACAATGTTCAAATAGAATCCATCCAATATCTGATATATGGTTCGCAAGATAAAAAATACAACACATTCTCAATAAATCTCATCATAGCAAAATGTGTTTTGAGAGACATTTTGATTTTGGAGACATATAATCTTTGTTATTTACTTAAAGTTAAT